CTAAGGAAACAAGCAAACTGACAAATCCCAATGGATTCGACAATACATTTCATTTGTCATTTTGAGTTCCCTTTGCATTAGTTCCCATGGGTCCTTTAGAAGAGTTTCGGCAGCTGTCGAAGTCTACTTAGGTCCAAGAAATTTCCCATCGACCCTTCTGGTTGAGGACACTCCCTCTGCATTTTTCCAAAAGATGGCCGCTGTTTGGCGCCATTCTCCTTCTCCAAACTGTGTTTGGCGCCGCGGGCCAAAAGCTGCATTTTAGGACGCAAGTCTCTGAGTAGCTGGCTTTGAGAGTCTGCATGCAGTGCCTGGGGGTGGACAGGGTCGGAGTGGGGCAACTCGTTTGTGATGTTTTTCAGAACCAAACCTTTGTGCTCCCACTCTCCTAGTCCTTCTTGTTCCGGTTGAACATGGAGCTGTACAGTGTATCCCATCTCCGATTGCTCCCCCTCGGCCCTCTCCTCCTCCTCACTCCCACTCCCCTCCTCTATCAGCCCGTATCTCTTCATGTACTTGCGGGTGGCTAAAGACATGTTGTTCGGAGACAGAATACTGCTCTGTCCCATGGCGCTCTTCTCCGTTGGGGGCTTCTCTGAGAGCAGTGTGCAGGGGCTGAACCTGGGACGGGCCCGGGGGGCTGTTGCCCTCCCCCTACAGAGAGCCTGGAGAGCTGCTGGTCGCTTAGGTATCGGAGGGCGATGGCGTTGGCCTCCAGGCTGAGGTCCACGCTGCCGCCCCACATGCTGGTCCCCATCGACTCTGGGAGGGTCAGTCTGCTGATGACCGCCTCTGGGTTGATGCCGGCCAGGGTACTGGGGAGAAGGAAACGGAAGCTGCATTTTAAATCAAAGTTACAGGAACACCTTCTGCATAATGTAACCTACGTAGCTAAATTATGTCGAGCTTACATGAGAATGAGCAAGAAAGTAAGAGAAACAGCCACTGTAATGGCCCCTATTGTCATGTTAGAATGGCTGTAACCATCATAACGGGTCCATTTCCCACAACTGAAACATCCTCTTGTTATACCATAATACTACTACCTCTATGACCTACGTGCAAAGATGGTCAAGTAAACCTGAAACTTCAAGGCAAACATACCTGGCACTCTCTACAGAGCTGCGCGTGGTCTTGCCCCCGGGGTCGGCAGAGTCCAGGTCCACGTTGACCCCTAGCTGCTGCAGCTGGCGCAGCGTGGCGTGGAGCACCTGGTCCCTTCCTCCTGGCTGCTGCTCTACTTTGGGCTCCGGCCTCCGGGAGCTGACGGGAACAGGGCTAGGGGATGACTGCTGGGACTGACAGTGGGACACTTGTCTAGGGGACAAGCTGTGTCTCTCTCGCAGTGTGTACGAGGTGCTTCGATCTTCTTCCTCTTTGACCTCCTCGTTCACTGATCCCTGGAGACGGCTGTTCACTTGGCCCTGTGGAAGGATGAAGAACGTCAGATCTTTATTTATAAGCGCTTTTCATATGTTTAGGTCCAAGTGACAGATAGTCAAAGGGATTTCACAGGAGGGAGGCTGGCCACATAACATGTTGTATTAAGCATTTCACTGCAATACTAGGTTCTGTTGAAACATTCTCCAAAAGAAGTATACCAGGATGAAAGACGGTGCAAATTCAAATACATAGCCTAATTACTTGGAGCCGTGCTCATAAGTATATTTTTTTCTTCCGCAAATCATGGTCTCCTGTTGACATACATGGAGCAAATAAAAGTCCATATAAAAGATTACTCTTACCAGTAGATCCTGATAAAACCGCTGATCATCCTCCACCGCCCTGGGCTCCTGACTCTTGGTGCCGTCCCTCTGTGGAGACTGGGACTGGTAGTACATGCTGGCACTCTCCCCCAACACTGGACTCTGGAAAGAACAGTCTCCAAATGCTGACTGAGTCCTGCAGGAAATGCACAAAAACACATGCTGTTCATACTACGGTTAAAAAAATACTTTACTGAAATGGCCACAAGGTGGCACCAGTGTTCAGATGGTGTTCAGCGGGTGAGCCGTCACAGTTGGTGACAGAAGTGGTATCACACTTCTGACGCCAGTTGTGAGGGCTCACCCTCACGTGCATATTTTCACATCACCCATGTTCTCCTGTGGCTGGGTTTCAGATTGAAAGCTTGGTCTATTCCATTCAATCACTGAAGCCTCGTTCTTGTGAAATGGAGGGAGTAAAATGGTGTAAACTGCCGTTCAGAGTTCTAGGTGGTGAACTACAACCATTACTTTCTTCATTCTTCCAGTCAATTCAAACTGAGGGCTGGGCCAATGGAAGAAAACAAGCGTTCAGTTTGAAATGCAGCCAACCGTTCTCTTACCTCTGGTGCGTTGACTGGTTGGATGGTGTGCCTGACACCCGTCTCTCTCTGACCCCGCTCTCTTCTTCCGAGCCATCTATGTGCCTGCTGTGGGTAAGGCTGGCACTGCCAGAGCTCCGACTAGAGGAGGCCCTGCTGCCATCGGGAGCGCCAGGCCCTGTGTCGGTGTGCCACTCTGGCTGTGGGCGCTCCTCATCGCGAGCAGGGGCATCGACAGGGACGCCCCAGAACAGACTAGCACCTACACAGCAGGGAGAGATGCAGTTAGTCAACTAAGGGTGCGTTTGTAAATTCACTCTGGCCATCTACTCCGATTTCAGAGCACTCTCGTCTGAGTGTGCCAGAGCGCAGAATAACTGATGAATTTACGAACTCGCTGAATATGACCAGTGTCAGTAAACGTCAGCAAAAAAACATAATTCAGTTGTTGCCAACAGCACAGTTAGTCAAATAAAGTAAAATGTTATTGGTCACATACACATACAGGTGCAGCTCAATAAATTAGAATATTGTGGAAAAGTTAAGTAATTTCAATAATTCAACTGACAAAGTGAAACTCATATATATCGTGGATTAATTACACAAAAAGTGAAATAGTTCAAGGCTGTATTTTTTAAAATCTTGATGATTACGGCTTACAGCTCATGAAAACCCCAAATTCAGTATCTCAGAAAATTAGAATATGACATAATACAGACATGTCGGCCTTCTGAAAAGTATGTTCTTGTACATGCAGTCAGTACTTGGTTGGGGCTCCTTATGCATGAATCACTGCATCTATGCGGCGTGGCATGGAGTCTATCAGCCTGTGGCACTGCTGAGGGGTTATGGAAACCCAGGTTGCTTCGATAGCGGCCTTCAGCTCATCTGCATTGTTGGGTCTCGTGTCGCTCATCTTCCTCTTGACAATACCCCATAAATTCTCTATGGGGTTCAGATCAGGCGAGTTTGCTGGCCAATCAAGCACAGTAATCCCATGGTCATTGAACCAGGTATTGGGACCTTTGGCAGTGTGGGCAGGTGCCAAGTCCTGCTGGAAAATGAAATCAGCATCTCCATAAAGCTTGTCAGCAGAAAGGAAGCATGAAGTGCTCTAACATTTCCTGGTAGACGGCTGAGTTGACTTTGGACTTGATGAAACACAGTGGACCAACACCAGAAGATGACATGGCTCCCCAAATCATCACTGACTGTGGAAACTTCACACTGGACTTCAAGCAACTTGGATTCTGTGCCTCTCCACTCTTCCTCCAGACTCTGGGACCTTGATTGCCAAATTAAATGCAAAATGTACTTTAATCTGAAAAGAGGACTTTGGACCACTGAGCGACAGACCAGTTATTTTTCTCCTTAGCCCAGGTAAGACGCTTCTGACGTTGGCTCTGGTTCAGGAGTGGCTTGACACGAGGAATGCGACAGTTGTAGCCCATTTCCTGGATACATCTGTGCGTGGTGGCTCTTGATGCACTGACTCCTGCCTCAGTCCACTCCTTGACAATCCTCTCAAGGCTCCGGTTATCCCTGTTGCTTGTGCACCTTTTCCTACCACACGTCTTCCTTCCACTCGAATTTCCATGAATATGCTTGGAAACAGCACTCTGTGAACAGCCAGCATCTTTAGCAATGAATTTTTGATGCTTTCCCTCCTTGTGGAGGTTGTTGATGACTGTCTTCCGCACAACTGTCAAGTCAGCAGTCTTCCCCATGATTGTGAAGCCTACTGAACTGGACAGAGACCATTTAAAGGCTCAGGAAACCTTTGCAGGTGTTTTGAGTTAGTTAGCTGTTTAGAGTGTGACACCTTGAGTCTACAATATTGAACTTTTTCACAATATTCACATTTTGGGGTTTTCATGAGCTGTAAGCCGCAATCATCAAGATTAAAACAAATACAGCCTTGAACTACTTCACTTTTTGTGTAATTAATCCACAATATATATGAGTTTCACTTTGTCAGTTGAATTATTGAAATTACTTAACTTTTCCACAATATTCTAATTTATTGAGCTGCACCTGTATTTAGCAGATGTTATTGCGGGTGTAGTGAAATGCTTGTGTTCCTAGCTCCAACAGTGCAGTAGTATCTAACAACAGTGCAGTAGTATCCGAACGCTCTAGATAACCAGCTCTGCTAGGGCAAGTAAAATGGTCAGAGGGAGTTTCTCTCATTTGTATCTGGAAGTAGCTAGCAAGCTAGCCAACTTTAGCCAGTTAGCTTGGGTGCTTGACTGCCGTCGTGAGGAACGCTCGGATCAACCCTACTCCTCGGCCAGAGCGTCCAGTGTGCGCTCTGAACGCTCCGAGAGCGAAACACTGAATTTACAAACGGACAATATGACAACGCTCTGAATTTACGCCCAGAACGCAGTCTGGCACTCCAGAGTGAATTTACGAACATACCCTATATGTGTAGTAAGCAAAATGTCTTATCAAGACAGTTACACAACAAAAGAGTAACCATAGGTGTATTGATACTGTGTATTGATACTGGTTAGTCCGAATTCACTTTTTCTATTCAGGAGACCTGGAGAAAAAAAAGGCCATGTTCTCAGTAGATCGCAAATGAACCATAAAGTGAGAAATACGATTTTCACAGTGCTTGAAGAGACTAGAGCGTCACACGGTCTTGCAAAAACAAGCACAGTTCGAAACGGGAAAGTGATAGGCCTAGAATTGGATCAAAATGCAGTGGATAGACAAACAATGACCAAGATTGCCAGAAGCGGTGATGAATGAGTCCAGTACCTGTGCCAACAGCGATGCTAACACTTCTCTTGGTCTGTTGTCCTGGGGAGGTCTGTGTCTGGATGGCTGCCTGCTCAGTGGATGGAGAGGAGCTCTCTCCTTTCCCTTGGGCCTCAAGTAGCTTCTGGATCTGAAATCAACAGGGTAAGAAAGGTTGAGAACTCCTGTTCTAAAGCTTTAAGATTGTGTAATTTGGTACAGTGTCTGATATCCACAATGACACCGTGGAGAGCCTGACCTGGGCCTGCAGTAACTTGAGCTGCCGGTCTTGGTCCACCAGGATTCTGTAGGCGTCAGAGGGAAGGAGGTTCATAGGCCCATCCAGGGGAGAGAGGGAGGGGGTTGACTGGGCCTGGCAACACGGGTTCTGACAGGCGGGGCCTGGCGGCTCCAAGCGGCCCCTGGGAGAGCAGGGCCCAAGGGAGGGGAAGTGGTGTGTGGTGGGGGGGGGCACCGGTGAGGCACGCTTGGCTGTAGTGAAGGTTTGTTTGGTGAGAGGTGTTGAGGTGAGAGGTGGGGGGGTTACTATCAGAGTTGGAGCAGAAGTGCCCTGAAGCCCCCTGCCAGTGGCTGGAGTGGTACAGGGGGGTATGGTCGTGTGGTTGGAAGGAGCAGCACCCACAAGGCTGGTTCAAGTTGGGGTTGGGGGTGCTGTGGAAGTGCTTGGGATGGACTGGGGGCTGTTGGTGAGTGGGCATGAGGGCTGGGATTGGGGGGGGGGGCGGGGCTGTGCCTGGGGCTGGGTTGTGGAGAGTTTCCGACGGGGGAGGCCCCTCTGTGAGAGGGGTGACCTGGGGCTTGGTGGAACTGCCTGGCCTGATGGACTGATCCATTAGGAGAGGAGCCAGTCTTTGGAGAGGAGGAGGAGGAGGAGGATGAAGAGGCAGACAACGTCTTCCCGACCTGCGGAGGGGCTGATTTCCTGCTGGAGGGGGGCCGGAACGGTGGTGGCTGCTGCCCGGGGGTGAGGGAGGCTCCTCTGCTGCCCTTGCCCTGGGGGGCCAAGGCAGGGGTCAGGGGCCTTCTGATGGGAGGGGGGCCACCGAGGACGGTGGGACCCTGGCCTTGGGGTCTGGCAGCCCAGAGGTGGAGCTGGTGCGAGGAAGGGGCACTGACTCTGTGCTGCAGAGCTGGGAGGGGAGGATGAGGGCGACCCATGGTCTTTCCATCCAGGAAGCTGCCGTCCATCACCAGAGAGAGCTCTGGCACAGAGGGGTGGACCCGCTTGGTCTGAAACAACATGGAGGCATGTCATTTAGAACACAGCCATTAACAACAAATAGGCTATATGCGTCAAATGACAAATCGAGCCATCTCCTCTGGTTATAGCACAGATACAGCATTCTAAAGAGAGGGAAAGAAAGAACAAAGGAAGGAAGGAGACAGAAAGAGAGAGAGACAAACAAAGACAGAAAGACAGACAGACAGACAGACAGACAGACAGACAGAGAGACAGAGACTCTGGTGTCCAAACACCCAGCGCGCCCTAGACCTTCTGTCTGAAGACCAACTAGGATCACCCAGTCACATTATAATACACACAGGCACAAACGACCTGAGAACACAGCAGGAAAGGGTGGCCACAGCACTCAAGGGAGTGATAGAAAAAGCTGCTTCTACTTTCCCCAACACACAAGTGGTTATCTCAACCCTGCTACCACGAAAATACTTCCACCCTGCTACCATACAGCAGGTAAACGCAAGTATTTCCCGTGACTGTGCCTCAAAACCGAATGTCTACCTGGCTCACCACTCCACCCTGGACTTGAACAGCCTTCACGACCAGGTCCACCTATACAAGGCAGCAGTGCCCACCTTCGCCCGGACCCTAAAGGATATTGACCTCAACCGCAGACCCAACACCTCACACAGGAGCAACAGATCAACAGACACCCCGCCCAGACCAGCGAGACACTCTCCCAGACCCGCGGAGCAGATCTAACTCACTCTATTAAATTAATCAAAACAGGAACATTTGGCTAGAAATTCAAAAGGAAATTATCTCAACAGAGAAAAATTTCCTCCTGTGTGCTACCTATATCCCCCCACTAGAATCCCCATACTTTAATGAAGACAGCTTCTCCATCCTGGAGGGGGAAATCAATCATTTCCAGACCCAGGGACATGTACTAGTCTGTGGCGACCTAAATGCCAGAACTGGACAAGAACCTGACACCCTCAGCACACAGGGGGACAAACACCTACCTGGAGGTGACAGCATTCCCTCCCCCATATGCCCCCCTAGGCACAACTATGACAACATAACCAACAAAAACGGGTCAACTCCTGCAGCTCTGTCGCATGCTGGGTATATACATAGTCAATGGAAGGCTTCGAGGGGACTCCTATGGTAGGTACACCTATAGCTCATCTCTTGGCAGTAGTACTGTAGACTACTTTATCAATAACCTCAACCTAGAGTCTCTCAGAGCGTTCACAGTCAGCCCACTGACACCCCTATCAGACCACAGCAAAATCACAGTCTACTTGAACAGAGCAATACTAAATCATGAGGCATCAAAGCCAAAATAACTGAATAATATTAAGAAATACTATAGATGGAAGGAAAGTAGTGTCGAAACCTACCAAAAAACAATTAGGCAACAACAAATTCAATCCCTTTTAGACAACTTCCTGGACAAAACGTTCCACTGTAATAGTGAAAGTGTAGACTTGGCAGTAGAAAACCTAAACAGTATATTTGACCTCTCAGCTTCCCTATCAAATCTAAAAATATGTAACAGAAAACCGAAGAAAAGTAACAACAATGACAAATGGTTTGATGAAGAATGCAAAAACCTAAGAAAGAAACTGAGAAACCTATCCAACCAAAAACATAGAGACACAGAAAACCTGAGCCTACGCCTTCACTATGGTGAATCACTAAAACAATACAGAAATACACTACGGAAAAAGAAGGAACAGCATGTCAGAAATCAGCTCAATGTAATTGAAGAATCCAGACTCTAACCACTTCTGGGAAAATTGGAAAACACTAAACAAACAACAACACAAAGAGCTATCTATCCAAAACGGAGATGTACAGTGGGGGAAAAAAGTATTTAGTCAGCCACCAATTGTGCAAGTTCTCCCACTTAAAAAGATGAGAGAGGCCTGTAATTTTCATCATAGGTACACGTCAACTATGACAGACAAATTGAGAAAAATAAATTCCAGAAAATCACATTGTAGGATTATTAATGAATTTATTTGCAAATTATGGTGGAAAATAAGTATTTGGTCACCTACAAACAAGCAAGATTTCTGGCTCTCACAGACCTGTAACAACTTCTTTAAGAGGCTCCTCTGTCCTCCACTCGTTACCTGGCACCTGTTTGAACTTGTTATCAGTATAAAAGACACCTGTCCACAACCTCAAACAGTCACACTCCAAACTCCACTATGGCCAAGACCAAAGAGCTGTCAAAGGACACCAGAAACAAAATTGTAGACCTGCACCAGGCTGGGAAGATTGAATATGCAACAGGTAAGCAGCTTGGTTTGAAGAAATCAACTGTGGGAGCAATTATTAGGAAATAGAAGACATACAAGACCACTGAATCTCCCTCGATCTGGGGCTCCACGCAAGATCTCACCCCGTGGGGTCAAAATGATCACAAGAACGGTGAGCAAAAATCCCAGAACCACACGGGGGGACCGAGTGAATGACCTGCAGAGAACTGGGACCAAAGTAACAAAGCCTACCATCAGTAACACACTACGCCGCCAGGGACTCAAATCCTGCAGTGCCAGACGTGTCCCCCTGCTTAAGCCAGTACATGTCCAGGCCCGTCTGAAGTTTGCTAGAGTGCATTTGGATGATCCAGAAGAGGATTGGGAGAATGTCATATGGTCAGATGAAACCAAAATAGAACTTTTTGGTAAAAACTCAACTCGTCGTGTTTGGAGGACAAAGAATGCTGAGTTGCATCCAAAGAACACCATACCTACTGTGAAGCATGGGGGTGGAAACATCATGCTTTGGGGCTGTTTTTCTGCAAAGGGACCAGGACGACTGATCCGTGTAAAGGAAAGAATGAATGGGGCCATGTATCGTGAGATTTTGAGTGAAAACCTCCTTCCATCAGCAAGGGCATTGAAGATGAAACGTGGCTGGGTCTTTCAGCATGACAATGATCCCAAACACACCGCCCGGGCAACGAAGGAGTGGCTTCGTAAGAAGCATTTCAAGGTCCTGGAGTGGCCTAGCCAGTCTCCAGATCTCAACCCCATAGAAAATCTTTGGAGGGAGTTGAAAGTCTGTGTTGCCCAGCGACAGCCCCAAAACATCCCTGCTCTAAAGGAGATATGCATGGAGGAATGGGCCAAAATACCAGCAACAGTGTGTGAAAACCTTGTGAACACTTACAGAAAACGTTTGACCTGTGTCATTGCCAACATAGGGTATATAACAAAGTATTGAGAAACTTTTGTTATTGACCAAATACTTATTTTCCACCATAATTTGCAAATAAATTCATTAAAAATCCTACAATGTGATTTTCTGGAGAAAAAAAATCTCATTTTTGTCTGTCATAGTTGACGTGTCCCTATGATGAAAATTACAGGCCTCTCTCATATTTTTAAGTGGGAGAACTTGCACAATTGGTGGCTGACTAAATACTTTTTTTCCCCCCACTGTATGGGTAAACCACTTCTCCAATCTTTTTGGCCCTATAACAAAGAACAAACAGACAAAAAATATATATGATCAAATGCAAATCTTAGAATCAACTATTAAAGACTACCAGAACCCACTGGATTCTCCAATTACATTGAATGAACTACAGGCCAAAATACAAACCCTCTAACCCAAAAAGGCCTGTGGTGTTGATGGTATCCTCAATGAAATGATAATATATACAGACCACAAATTCCAATTGGCTATACTTAAACTCTTTAACGTCATCCTTAGCTCTGGCATCTTCCCCAATATTTGGAACCAAGGACTGATCAGCCCAATCCACAAAAGTGGAGACAAATTTGACCCCAATAACTACAGTGGGATATGAGTCAACAGCAACCTTGGGGAAATCCTCTGCATTATCATTAACAGCAGACTAGTTCATTTCCTCAGTGAAAACAATGTACTGAGAAAATGTCAAATTGGCTTTTTACTAAATTACCTTACGACAGACCACGTATTCACCCTGCACACCCTAATTGACAAACAAACAAACCAAAACAAAGGCAAAGTCTTCTCATGGTTTGTTGATTTCAAAAAAGCTTTTGACTCAATTTGGCATGAGGGTCTGCTATACAAATTGATGGAAAGTAGTGTTGGGGGAAAAACATACGACATTAGAAAATCCATGTACACAAACAACAAGTGTGCAGTTAAAATAGGCAAAAAACACATTTATTTCCTCAGGGCTATGGGGTGAGACAGGGATGCAGTTTAAGCCCCACCCTCTTCAACATATATATCAACGAGACAGAGGGAGAGCGAGACAGAGGGAGAGCGAGACACAGAGAGAGACAGAGGGAGACACAGAGAGAGACAGAGGGAGACACAGAGAGAGAGGGACCAAGAGAGAGGGACCGAGAGAGAGAGCTGACCTGCTGGGTGAGAGGGTGTGGGTTTGGGGAGGGCCTGGGGGAGAGGTCCTCATCCTCCACTCCAGAGTCATGGTCGCTGATTGACAGCCTGTCCTGTGGAGAGACTGCCACTGACGCAGGGCTGAGGGAGAGAAGGAGGACAGATACCGTCAAACACTGGAGAGCCCATTGACTAATGAAATCTATTCTACCGCACAGCAATTCCTGTGAAGTCATAAAATCCTGTTAAGAGTATCGTTCTCATGAGTTCAGTTAGTATTTAACAAAAGACTAACAATTTTCTTGTGACCCAACACATATACAAAAAGCCACCAATCAGACAGACACAGCATTGAGTCCCTATCCACTGCTTCAGTCTAGGTAATATTGTTACTGCAGATGTTTGAGAGTAGAGCCTGTATACCTTCTGAAGGAGGAACAGGACACCAGTTCCCTGAAGAACTCTGCCTCACGGTTCTGGGTCTCGGCACTGAGCTCAAACTGCAGAGTACGGCCCTCGGACACCTCTACATTCTGCACAGACAAGGAACAAAATAAATCAAGTCTCATATTGACATGGATTATCCAACATGTTTAAATTCTGTATTCTGTTGTAATAGTGGGTAAAGGCCACTAGAGGGCTTTTCATTCTACTGAGCTGAGCCAAACCAAGCTGAACTGCACTGGCCTCCTTATGCATCGGACCATAGTTGCTGGAACCGTGCTGGTAAGCTCAATGTGAAAGGGAAATGTCCGAGCCATCAGAGCATGGTTCTGGTCGGCACGATAGATTGAGTCAGGCATAAGTGTGCCTACCTTGTAGAGAGTGAGTGACTCGGTGCTGGTGAGCAGTTGAAAGGTCATGTCCTGCTGCCCACTGCAAGGCTGGACCTGGTAGAACTCTGGCTCCCTGTGGGTCAGTGAGTACAGCACCACCAGGAACGCACCGCCCTCAGACATCACCCTGGAACCCAATAATAAATCAGGGGTGTGTTCATTAAGGATAAAATATTTTGAAGCGAGAAGGTAGCCCACCTGAACCAATAAGAACACTGATTTATGTATTCCATTGCAAAAAATGTTGCTACGGTGTGAAAATGTTGTGTAATGTTGCAGATAGAAATCTCATAAATAGAGCTGTCTGACAAATCCCTATTCTACACAATACATGTACATTTAAAGCTAACTTTCATGAATAAGCACTGATTAACTATTAATAAATATTTCATATTTCGTAAAAAAAAAAAAACATCTTAAGCATTGAAACGTAACAATTCATAAACATTTATAATCATTTAAAATAATTGATTGTGGCTTATTCATGAACGTTATTACAAAGTGCCTAGCATGTTGGTCCACATCAGCTGTGCTTTAGCAAACTCCTCTGTGTTCGTTGGTGTATGGCATAACAAGCACACAAGAATTTGCTACAGCACAGAGTATGGAGCCAGGCTACCTTTAGCCAAGTGAGAAATGACAGTCAGTGTGCTATTTGTAATACGTGAACAGATAGGCATCCCACTCACTTGTCCTGGAGGGAGGAGCTGAACAGGTACCTCAGACACCACGCCCACACCTGGGGGTTGTAGATGTGGGTGACCCCACTCAACCATCTGCCACAGACAACAACACAAGCACGTCAACCAAACTGTACACTACTGCTAATGAGGTGGCTCACACACACTAACAGCTTGACTACTAAAAGGAAGGATAAATCCTTTTGGGGTTCAGATTATCTCCAATGAATGGAGTTTTTTTCCCCCCGGACATACAAAATAATAACACGTTGGCCGAAAAACATAATGTCAATGGAGGGCATTCTCACACTCCAACCAGTGGAAGAGTATAGGCCTTCGGGTCAGACTCCAGTAGTAGCAGCAGTTTCCGGGTTTGATCCATGGTCAGAAAGCTGAACAAAATGTAGAGCAGAAGCAATCATTATCCATTATAAAACTGGGTGGTTCTAGCCCTGAATGATGATTGGCTCACAGCCGTGGTATATCAGACCATATACCATGGGTATGAAAAAACATGTATTTTTACTGCTCTAATTACATTGGTAACCAGCTTATAATAGCAATAAGGCACCTCGGGGGTTTGTGGTATATGGCCAATATACCATGGCTAAGGGCCGTATCCAGGCATTCTGCGTTGCGACGTGCCAAAGATCAGCCCTTAGCCGTGGTATATTGGCCATATTCCACAACCCCTCGTGCCTTATTGCTTAAATAACACAGCGATAAAAGAATGATTGACATGACTTGTCTATAATGTTATTCCATGTTATGTCCTTAATCCTTACCCTTGTTTGCGGCTGGCGCAGCTGTGTAGCGGCTGGGTGAGGCTGGACCGGCTGCTCAGGTTCCTGGCCAAGGCGGTGGGGATGATGGGCACGGGCCGGACGGGCACAGCGTCCAAGGTGTTGCCGGGGGCGGCAGCGGCCCAGCGCAGGCAGAAGCCCAGGCTGTCTGCTTGCTGGGAGCAGCTGAGGTGGGCTCGCAGGGCCAGCAGCTTGGACAGGTCCAGGGACTCCCGGCTGCTGCAGCAGTGCTGGAGCATCTGAACAAGTACGGTGGGAGGAAGGATGGAGACATGGGTTTGGGCTGTTTAAGTTGGGCACATTCTATGGTGGCATTGCTTCTCACAAGAGGCAGTTCCAGGGCTCCGGACTAACGTTTTCCCCTGGTGACACTAACTTTTTCAGTTCTATTGGTGGCACCAGCCCATGATTTGGTATCACCAAAAAATTTACATTGGTGGCGCCACAGAATAGGAAAATGAATAGCGATCTTATAAAGTCAGTCATTCACAATGCTTTATTAAAAAGTGTAATAGGTTACTAAGATGGTATTCAATAAATAAGTTAGTACATCTAACATGTCCAAACAGGAATGCACGATTCAAGATATTTTGATATGCAACCTAATCCAGTGATTGTCATGAATTTTGGGTTGACAATTAGGCTATTGTTATATTTTACTGTCAAAATAAGGCTCCAGAACATTCATATTTTTTGGGTTCAATAGAGGTGAATTTGCCTTCATCTTTATGTTCACTAATTTTATATACAGGCCTAATTCAATTGACGCTAATTCACCAGCTGAGGAAGTGGGACCTCAAAACACATTAGCTAGATCGGCAATTATAAACTGGGTCGTTCGGGCCCTGAATACTGATTGGCTGACAACCGGGGTATATGAAACAACATACCACGGGTATGACGCAAAACGACTTGTTCTAATTACTAGGGCTAACCCCATTTAGTCGACAGGTCGATTGTTTGGTCGATAGGCTGTTGGTCGACCGAGATTTCTTTAGTCGAGCATATAGCAAAAAAGATGAACAAATTAATGGTGTACAAGACACCGGTCTGATTCGCGCCTGGGGATGGCACAGTCCATCACTAAGACATGTTCTACTGAAATTGTATATGGTTGTATTACATAAGAACACTCATCAAAATAATATTATTTTATAACAAATGTACTTTCTCCCGCATGGTAAGTGGTCGCTGTCCGCGGTCTGAAACAGTGCGCTGTTGAATTGCCGCTTTTTTCTAGACCATGTTGCTATGTGCATAATAGCAAAGTTACTCAGCATATTGGTGTTGAAAGCAATACGGCGGAGGCAGCAGTGGAGTTAGGAGATGCGAAAACAGCCCTTGCCTTAATTGTCGAAGAACAGTGAGGAAACCAACTGAAATATACTGAACAAAAATATAAACGCAACATGTAAAGTGTTGGTCCCATGTTTCATGAGCTGAAATAGAAGATCCAAGAAATGTTCCATATATTTATCTCAAATTTTGTGCATACATTTATTTACATCCCTGTTAGTGAACATTTATCCTTTGCCAAGATAATCCATCCACCTGACAGGTGTGGCATATCAAGAACCTGATTAAACACAATGATCAATACACAGGTGCACATTGTGCTGGGGACAATAAAACGCCAATAAATGTGAATTTTTGTCACACAACACAATGTCACAGATGTCTCAAGTTTTGAGGGAGCATGCAATTGGCATGCTGACTGCAGGAATATCCACCAAAGCGTTTGCCAGATAATTTCTCTACCATAAGCCGCCTCCAACATCATTTTAGAGAATTGGGCAGTACGTCCAACCGGCCTCATTTTCTACACTGTAGAATAATAGTGAAGATATCAAAACTATGAAATAACACATATGGAATCATGTAGTAACCCAAAAAGTGTTAAATCTAAATATATTTTATAGTTAAGATTCGTCAAAGTAGCAACCCTTTGCCTTGAAGAGAGCTTTGCACACTCTTGGCATTATCTCAACCAGCTTCATGAGGTAGTCACCTGGAATGCATTTCAATTAACAGGTGTTCCTTCTTAAAAGTTAATTTGTGGAATTTCTTTCCTTCTTAATGCGCTTGAGCCAATCAGTTGTGTTGTGACAAGGTAGGGGTGGTATACAGAAGATAGCCCTATTTGATAAAAGACCAAGTCCATATTATGGCAAGAACAGCTCAAATAAGCAAAGAGAAACGACAGTCCATCATTACTTTTAGACATGAAAGTCTGTCAATCCGGAACATTTCAAGATCTTTGAAAGTTTCTTCAAGTGCAGTCGTAAAAACCATGAAACGCTATGATGAAACTGGCTTTCATGAGGACCGCCACAGGAATGGAAGACCCAGAGTTACCTCTGCTGCAGAGGATAAGTTCATTAGAGTTAACTGCACCTCAGATTGCAGCCCAAATAAATGCTTCCAGAGTTCAAGTAACAGACACATCAACATCAACTGTTCAGAGGAGACTGCATGAATCAGGCCCTCATGGTCGAATTGCTGCAAAGAAACCACTACTAAAGGACACCAATAAGAAGAAGAGACTTGCTTGGGCCTAGAAACACGAGCAATGGACATTAGATCGGTGGAAATGTGTCCTTTGGTCTGATGTGTCCAAATGTTAGATTTTTGGTTCCAACCGCTGTGTCTTTGTGAGATGCAGAGTAGGTGAACGGATGAGTAGGTGAACGGATGTTCTCCACATGTGTGGTTCCCACGTGAAGCATGGAGGAGGTGTGGGGGGGCTTTGCTGGTGACACTGTCTGTGATTTATTTAGAATTCAAGGCACACTTAACCAGCATGGCTACCACAGCATTCTGCAGCGATACGCCATCCCATCTGGTTTGGGCTTAGTGGGACTATAATTTGTTTTTCAACAGGACAATGACCCAACACACCTCCAGGCTGTGTAAGGGCTATTTTACCAAGAAGGAGAGTGATGGAGTGCTGCATCAGATGACCTGGCCTCCACAATACCCCGACCTCAACCCAATTGAGATGGTTTGGGATGAGTCGGACGGCAGAGAAATAAAAGCAGCCAACAAGTGCTCAGCATATGTGGGATCTCTTTCAAGACTGTTAGAAAAGCATTCCAGGTGAAGCTGGTTGAGAGAATGCCAAGAGTGTGCAAAGCGGTCATCAAGGCAAAGGGTGGCTATTTGAAGAATCTCAAATATAAAATATATCTTGATTTGTTTAACACTTTTTTGGTTACTACATGATTCCATATGTGTTATTTCATAGTGTTGATGTCTTCACTATTAGTATACAATGTAGAAAATAGTACAAATAAAGAAAAAGCCTTGAATGAGTAGGTGTGTCCAAACTTGACTGGTACTGTATATGTTGAAAATGTGTGAAATTGTGAGTAATAATTTAATATTTTTTCAATTTCATTGTACTTCCATTTAGAATTAATGCAACATATCTTGACAGGCTATATCATGTAATTTGACCACAGTACAGTCATTTATTAAATTAGAGGCAAGTCGCCAGCAAAACGAACAGTAACACATACAATTTCCATACACCATCACACAGGATGAAGTCAAGAGGGGTTTCTTTCCCATGATATCATCAATGGGATCCCAAATACTAACGCCACAATAGACGGCACCCACGTCTCCATAAAAGCACCGTCCCAAAATGAGTTCAACTATGTGAACAGAAAATACTTACACTCTTAATGTGCAGGTGATATGTTATATGAAGCGCAAAAGACGCTGCTGAATGTGGTGGCAAATTCGCCAGGTGGGACGCACTACTCATTCATTCTGCAGAACAGCAATGTTGGCCTATATGCCTACAGGCGGGAGCTGTTGAGAATGGATGTCTTATTGGAGAGTGTTGCCTACTCATCTGAAGTATATTTGCTATTGCTAAAGCAACTTGAATTGTCCTAATGGTCCTCTCTTTGTTTTTACTAGCCAAGCCACAACTGAGCAAGCCAAATAAACCTTTTGGTTGTTCTCAATCTCTGACACTAGCACCTCTATTTTAGTCTCGGAAAAGATTGTTTCATAGCTTTTCTTTGGTTGCGCCGTTGTATTTCATGGTACGGGGTATATTTCCCACGGGCATTAAAGGGATTATTTTGACCATATATGGTTAATTAGGGGTGTTTCGAAATGCAAATAGCCAGGGTCACGTACGAGCACTGAGGCTGAGAACAATTAGTATTTATCAATGGTTATCTCCTACCAGTGTGCGTATGAAGGTCGTAGGAATGTTTGATAAGTCACACTTTTTATATGTGTACGAACATTCTAAATTCCGTTCCTAAGTAGTATTTTAGAATAGTTTCTACGCAATATTGATAAATGACGCCCTGGCTCGCTTATTAGAGCAACCGGGCCCAGCGAAACAGGCACAGCGGCAGGGCACACACTTTCATTACAGGAATCATGAGGATAATCAGAGAGGAAGAGGCAAAGCGAGAGGGATAACTGGGCCCAAAATCTGTCTTCTCCAGCAGGTGGTGTTTTTGTTTTTTTCACTCACCAAGGGAGGAGTTTTTGTATGGAGGTCAATGAGTTTCAAATTTGGTTAACAAAAAATGTAATGGCTGATTTGCTACGTGTGGCTTATTTATTTGATCAAATAGAAGTTTCATAATGATTAGGTTGTTACGAGTATACAAGTAGGCCGTGACAACCTGCCAACTTTGAGAAAAAAAACTATCAGAGTTTTGCCTGGTCGTCACTAGTTACCACTGCCACAAAGTCATAAACACAGCCTATTTCTACAATTTATCTTCTAAAAATCTGTTTTTAAACCTAACCACACTACTAACTGTATGCCTAACCCTACATTAAAACCAAAATGCATATTTTTCTTTTCATGAATTTACAATACAGCCAATTTTGACTGTGGCAACTAGTGGAAACCGTTGTGCATGCATCTGCTCTCTCATTGGCTAGAATGGTCCCACCTGATCATGCGTCCTCCTGACTGCCGTCCATTTTTGAAGACGTTTGTTTTCATTGTTAGAGCAGCCACTAGAGCCTTCAAACTCACCATTCCCCTCTAATCAGGGACAGATTTAGACCTGGGACACAAGGTGTGTGCAATTAATTATCAGGTAGAACAGAAAACCAGCAGGCTCCAGACCTTGTAGTGTAAGAGTTGAATACCCCTGCACTAGAGTATCTGGTCCATATAATGGATAATCTGTGGCATAATGCACTTTACGGTTTGACCAAATCATGGTTTTATCCGCCCAAAAAAATTGGTAGTTTTGATTGCAGTGACCAGGTAGAAAGTGCAGCTTGCACCAATGTGACCAATTAAAAGCTTAACTCGCAGTCAAATGCGGTCACAGTCTGGAGCCCTGGGTTCAGTAATTAGCAACACCTGTTGCCGACAGGTTGCAATAACTGCCAACTTAGGAGTAGAGGGAGTATGCTCCTTCTGTTATCCAGGCAACAGAAAATGTGTGCTCTCTCATTAGGCAGTTAAGAGGGTGGGTTGAACTTAACGTACAGTTGGGATGAATGTCAATTCCAGTTAGAAAACACAGCATTGGGTAAGAAAATATGGTAAGTGTATGGTTATTGCTGGTATCTTCATAAAAACTTCAACTGCACTCATTTTATTCACACAATGCATAGTTGCACAGTGTTGTATGAGTGATAAGAGGGCATTTACTTTCAGTGCAGACATTAACATATTCATTTTACCTTAAAAGAGATGTGGAAGTCTTCTGCCGAGTGAACCATGGTGTCTGTGGCAGAGACCCCCTGGGTTTCCAGCACACAGGGCACCAGGACGTCCCCAGGCATCAGGGCAGTGGGCACCTTTCCTGAGGAGCCAGGCTGCTCCCGGCCCGGGTCAAACCGGTCCAGAGTCAAAGTCACACCCTCTTCATCTTGGAGAAAGAGTGGAGAGAGAAGAGTTCACATCAAGCAAGTGAAGGGAGGTACAAGGGACAGTTTCAATATAAAAGAGCTAAACCTAAGAGTACGTACTTAGCAAGCATATCCAATCCATCATTATCATGAGTATAAAATAATTATTTTCCATCTAAAATGTGTGTTTGCTCTTGAACTAAAAAAAAATGCAATACTTGTCATGAAAAAAAAAATACATCTCACCAGAATCCACAGCAATAGTCCCCAGCAAGTAACAGCTGAACTGGGGTTTGTTACTCTGTCGAGCATGGCGGTGGGCCAAGCGAAGAGTTTTCTCCACAAGAAGTAGCCTGGGATTTCTGTTCAATAGAAAACAGGTTTTTAGCAGTGAAGGCAGAGCATGATCTAATTACAATCAAGGGTGCGTTTCAATAATCTTTCTTTCAACTGAACTGACTTGAGAAAATTAAGCAGATGAAAGTGAGCCGACATATTGCTTACACCGGCCAAGTATTTCAAATCAGTACAGGCAATGGGATGGAGTTGAGAAAGCCACTTTGGACTACTGAGATGCAAAAAGAAACCAGTAGCCTACCTGTAATAGGAGAGGTGGAGGCTAACCACATCCCCATTAGGTGTGGGGTCCCATAGGGCCACTTTGGATTTGGGGAAGGTGAGGGCAGCAAGAGCGTTCTCTGGTGATCTGTGGTATGGTTAACATTGTCAAATACTGTCAGACTGAAACTTCCCAGTGGGAATTGTTATTGTATTGGAATTATTAGGAAACAAATGACAAATGTACCAGGGTTGATATATACAAAGGAAACATGTACATACCTTGTTGTCATCTTCAGATTATCTGGTTTGTAAACATTGCCCAGGACGTGAGATGGTAGTCCTTTCAAATTCACCTGAACACTCATTTCTGTGGACAGGAAAGGAGATATTCTGTCAACAAGAACTGGCTTTGACTTTTTTTGAGGCAAACACTGACATCCTATGTCAAGGCCAAACACTGGGTAAAATATAAATGTGCGTGCATGACACCATACACATGTAAGCAATTCACTGACACCAAAAGACTAGCATTACTAACGTTCGCTGGCAAGGTAACACTAGCTCGCTACTGTAGTTAGCTAGTTAAAGGACTTTGACCATCTGGCAAACTTAGCAAATGGCATAGCTAGCTCCTGTAACTGTTACAGTAACTACCGAGCTAGCGTTAGCTCACACACCCTATGCTATGTTACCTATTTGTCAGTCCAAGTTGTGACCATAGTACATACAGTAATCTTCTTCACCAAACGTAGCTAGTTAACTAGCTCGCTATCTTATCAGACAACTAGCTAGCTAGTTAAGCAGTTAGCTAGCATTTGGGTTCGCGTGCCACCGAGTCCTGATGGCTGGCTTAAATGTTCGGAGAACTGTCTTCAAGCCGCTGTCCTCAAGACTTCCTCGGCAACATCAACAACAGAGCAGTCATATCCGCGGTAAATCCACACGTTAATATTTTACTTCACCTAGCAGCAACCCAGCGTCGTATTGAATTAATCACTTTCCACATTGCTAGCTAAACGCATCACACAAACGTTCCTTGTGATAAATCAAATGTAATTGATTATGGCGCTGTTTCCAGGTTCCAATGGCGGGGCATAAAATCCAGCCAATAGAAGGCTCCGTTTCATGGTTGCCGACCTCTCAGAGGAGCTGGAAATATGAGCCGCTCAGCCCATCCAGTGCTTTCATCGTGATGGCGATGCAGTACATATGAGTCTTGTTGAGGTTGCGAAGAATATGAAATAGCAATAATGCTATGCTTCGAAACTGTTTATCAAGTTTTGCAACGCTGAGTTACGTTTTGATACTGATAGACATTTGAATGAAACAAAAAAAAAACACAAGGGGGCGCAATTTTACCAGATTATACAGTAATAAATACAGGCATTTTCCTATAGCCACAGACATCCCATATTTATTGACAGAAGCACAGCAAGCAAACAAAATGCCACATCAAGTCTACCACAAACATCAGTATAATTTTCAAACCTAATCTTTCACATGATACTTTTCACAGAAGGGCTTTTCCAACATGACCACCATTCACAGATTATTCACAATGATGCTCCATCCCGCTTGAAGGCTTTCCACTAGAGCTTGGTCTGACAGAATTTAGGCTACTACAGAACTGGTAGTAAATAATCCTCCTCCCCTGTACACCCAAACATCTCTGGGAGCAAGGGGTTTGACGTGACATCACCACACATTTGACTCAGTAGAGCTCATTTTGACCCTGTTAGAAATAATCTCTAGTCCATCCATGCCCCTTTCACTCAAGCTGGCTGAGACCAATGGGTCCCAGGTTGAAGTGATTGCAACAGCGTGTAGCCAATGGCTGGTGGTCATGGATTCATTTTGCCCTAATCCATTTCAGTTCAGAGGAGATTAACAAACCAAACCAATTGTTGATATGCAGAGAGAGACTGTGTGATGAGAGCGGGGGACAGAAAGGAGTACTGTGAGAAATGTCACATATGAAGATGATTGAGGCACCCCATTCTGTTTAGTGAGACATTGGTGAATTTAGACAGTCATGGAGCCTGAGGATTTGAACCTGGATCTCATCTGGGAAATCAGTGCACTGAAGAAATGCATAAAGAGGTAACTTCTCACTTTTTCACATTGTTAACTAGATGTACAGTATGTTTTGCCTCATCCTTTTTTATAACTAGTGTATGTTTCACTTGAATATATTTGCCTAGCATTTGGCCTAAATTGCTCAGTGAGTATAAACAGTATAGTTGATGATTGTTGGGATCCAGAACACCAGTTGTCATCAATGTATAACGAAAAAGCCTATGATTTGAGAGGTCAGGTTAGGTTTGGAACAATGTAAATCTGTGCTCAGGATCAATCACGTCTTCAATCTAGATGAAAAGCTCAGATATCAGAGCATCCTCGACTGTCATACTCCCATAGTCCTTTTAAGGCTGTCAGATGCATACAGTTATGTCTGGCTAGCAAGGCTTTTAATATCATCTCTGCAAGGCACTGCAATTATCCTTTCCTTGAAACCCCCCCAATCTGAAAAGCAGTATTTCAACGTTAAAGCTTCACATACTGTCGACTACTTTATCTCTGGCTAAACATCCAACTGGTCTATTGCTCCAGCCCACTGGCAGAAATTAGCTCATAGTCTTGCGTTACTCAGAGAACCCTGTCTACTGAGGAAATACAGGTATAAACTGTTGCTTTTAAAAAAGTACCTAGATAGTCGCCATTACACTACCAGTCTGGTACTCAGACTGACAGTGTGTAAACAAACGCCAGACACAGATGTTGGCTTTATCCCAAGGTGGAGATTCGTCTTTGGGCCATACTTACTTATGAGGCATAGACATTGTCCTGGTCCAATTCATGGTGGTCCTAGATGTGTATGTTACAAATGGGAGTTAGAGCACAATAGAGGTTTTGTTCAAAAGGAGGAAGGGATGGATTTAGCAAATCACATTTCATCTTGGAAAACAGGATCACTTATTTGGGGGGAAGGAGAGGAGAGACATTTTTCATAAGGCTGTGAGTTTGTGATACATTCCTCAGTTTCCGAGCTTGACTTTCTCAGGTCTGGGTATTTGGATCTAGCTTGGCTGACGCGACCCACGTGACCGCACAGCAAGGAAGAGCTGTGACTCACTGATCTGGACAGGAGGTTGTTTGTTAATGAAATATTCGATCAGAAATTGAGTGGACTCATTGATTGGTTCTCTCAAATGTTTTTTTCCCCCTGGGAGGTTGAGAACTCTTGTTGTTTTGATTTGAAAATCCAACAGTTGTAATGGAAGGTGGCAGCACTCTGGGGCTGTGTGTGGATGTGCCTGTGGGTGTTTGAGCAGTGGAGGCTGCTGAGGGGAGGACAGCTCACAATAATGGCTGAAATGGAGTGTGATGGCTGGAATGGAGTGAATGGAATGGTATCAAACACATGAAAAAAACATGTTTGATGCCATTCCATTTACTCCAATCCGGCCATTATTATGAGCCGTCCTCCCCTCAGCAGCCTCCACTGTGTTTGAGTGAGAAAGACATGGAGAACAAACCAGTAAAAGCACAGCCCCCTTGATTATCAATGCATTGTGCCGACAACATCAAAACAGCCTTTCCAGACTCTGAAGTCAGGAGGACTTCCAGTTAGGTGTTAGCCAGACTAACTTGGATCTGGCAGTGTATAAAGTTCAATATCTTCCCCAATGTTTCCTACTATTATGGCCCTGTTTCAAAACAGGCCTGGGAGTCCTTGGGGATTCATAAATTCTCCCTGAAAGAAAAATAAACATGAGAACGCAATTCGTAACTATTGAACCTTTTTGCACATTAAAATATTTATTTAAATGTCAAAGTATTCCTTTATTATTTTTATCTGACAATCAATAACATATGAGAGGGAGGGCAGAGAGTGACGAATCAGCCGAGTCCAAATCGAGAATCAACAAAGCAAATTCTGAGCCAGCTGGAATATGAGCCTGGAGACTAGTGCATTTCCTCTGCTCTCTGCATTTAAGATTCCTTTGCTACCTTTTTTTTCTCTCTCTCTCTCTCTCTCTCTCTCTCTCTCTCGCTCTCTCTCTCTCTCTCGCTCTCTCTCTCTCTCTCGCTCTCTCTCTCTCTCAAATTCAAGGGTAAAGTTACTAGACTCCACCCACAATTTCAGCCCCTCCACCAATAGAGCTAGCCTTGGGTTGCATTTAAGAACTTCTGTGACCAATCCTCTACCAGCTGCTCAAGACTGTCTCCCCAAGCAACCCTGAGGTTTCCACACATGTGAATCACCTTTTACAGTCAGTTGCTGCCCACTGCCTGCTGTAGATGTTTTCCCAGAGGAAGGAGGACAGAGGAACTGGATACTTGGCAGCAGGGGCTGTTGAGGGGAGGAGAAGGTTGGTGAAACTCCCAGATTTGTGTACTTAAAGGGAGAGTGAGTGCTCAGTGGAGACGAGACCCACACTTGAACTGCCCCAACACAGCTGGAGAGAGACAGAGAGAGAGGGAAGGAAGGGGAAGGTAGTTTCAAAATAGAAGGCGTCGCTGAAATAACAGTGAGAAGGTTTTGGGCTGAGCTTTTGCAGAATTTAGGATGGCATTTGAGAGAGGAGGCCAGAGCAGGCAGAGCTACCTCAGTCTCTGAACACCAATGGAGGGAGAGAGGTAAGACCCCACAACTTTTTCCTCTTCATACTCTCAGGGACAATTCTCTCTATTACCTAAACAAAGGAAGAAACCAACTGTAATTATTTCAATGACAATTGGAACTTCAGCATTCAATGTATTTTATTGATCATGGCATCTGTGGTGTCATCTATTGTCTGAGTTCAAATACAGGCAGGAGAGGCCAACATCTATTACATCCTTTGTGGCCACCATATTTGCATGTGAATTAGAAACCTAGTAGCATTTCAGTAGAGGTGAGGTCGGCAGAGGAAATTCAGATAAATTACCGTAGACTAAAACAGCTCCTTATAGAAGAAACCTAGTCTCGCAGAAGCAATTGGTTTCCTTCTCCCCTTAGTCTCACTTGTTGACCTTGTTGCATTACGGTTCAGTGACTGCAGGCATTTCAACACAAGCTCAGTGGTTGTGAAGTGCAATGCTGTGTGGAAGTGTAGCCTATAACCTCTAACATGCTCTCTGCGTCTCCTAGTCACTCCCTGGAATTTGGAGACAGCAGCTGCATTCCTGACTGAATCTGTGATGATTAAAACCCTACGGCGTAGTATCCATTTCATGAAGCGTCTCTGAGTGATGATCTAGGATCAGGTCCCCCCCTATTATTCATTATGATCGAAAGGGAAAAACTGATTCTAGATCAGCACTCATCCTCTGAGGTAATTTGTGAATATGGGCTCTGGTCTTTCTTGAGAGGCAGTAGAGA